TACAATAAGGGTTTGGAGTCTTTGTTGAAAAGAGTGACCCTCAAAGGTTTATAGCAAGATGTGCTATTGATGGCTGCAACTGGAGAATTCATGCTTCAACAATGCCTGACAAAGTCAGTTGGGCAATCAAGACATTGACAGGGGAGCATGCAACCTGTGGCAGGCTTGAGATAAACCCTATTGTTAGCTGTGATTGGCTTTGCAGACATCTGCAGTCAGATATTCAAGCCAATCCAGACATTCCAGTAGAGTCTTTGCAAAGAATCCGTATGGAAAGGTACATAATTCATGTGAAAAAAGGTTGTTTTACAAGGTGAAAGCATTTTCCAAGGAGATGATTCATGGTGGCTTTGGAGAGGCATACAGTCTCCTTCCAAGATATGCTGAGATGGTGAAAGAGACCAATCCAGGAAGTTATGCACTAGTGACATGGACACAATTATCTGCAAATGTCCAACCTAGGTTCAAGGCATGCTTCTTCTCCTTTGCTACCCAAGTTAAAGGCTTTTTGAGAGGGTGTAGGCCTATCATTGGAATTTATGGGGCCCATCTAAGTGGTTTTTATAAGGGGATTCTGCTAACAGCAGTTGGAATTGATGGGAACAATGAGATCTTTGTGTTTGCTTATGGCATAGTAAGCACAGAGAGTGTTGAGACTTGGGGTTATTTTATGAGGAATTTGAAGTGCCTTTTTCAGAAAGAGGGATGCAACAGAGATGATTGGACTTTTATCTCTGACAGGATGAAGGTAACTCTCAATTTGCTGTGATTTTATTTTTTCAAAGGGCAAAGTTCTCCCTTCTCACTTGTTACATTCCTATGCAGGGAGTTGATGCAGCAATTATGGAGACATTCCCCAGAGCCAGTAGAAGAATCTGCTGTCAACACTTGTACAGCAACTGCAAAACAAATGGTTTTAGTGGAACAGCTTTTCACAAGCTCTTTTGGGTTGCTGCTGATGCTTACAATCCATGTCTTCAACAAAGCAATGGAGAAGATTCATGCCTACAATCCAAAGGCTGTTGATTACTTGAACAGCACCACTGAGGTTTGGTTAAGGCATCAGTTTGAGCCAACAATTTGTTGTGACCATAACACAACAAATTTTGTGGAATCATTCAACTCTTGCACCAAGCCATACAGAGATCTACCTGTGTTAAAGCTACTTGAAGGTTCAAAATTGAATTTGCTCTGTTGTTAAGTCAGTTTGTAAATGCAATTTCTACCTTTCTTTACTGTAATTTCTATATTGATTTCTATTTTGCAGCTATTAGGCAATGGTGCATGAAAAGGATGGCTCCAAGGTTTGATAAAGCAACATCAATGGGAGATGGGGAGCTCACTGAGTAAGCTACTAAGATCTTGCAAACAAGATCAGATGAGTCTAGGTTCTGCTATGCTACACCATGTGGGGGTGATGAGTTTGAGGTGAGGGATCAACATGTGTACTTTCCCATTAAACTTGGGGCTGGAACTTGTGGTTGTGGAAAGTGGCAACTTTTAGGGATCCCCTGTCAGCATGTGCTTAGGGTGATTTGCCACCAAAGGCTGCATGCTATAGATTTTGTGTCACCTTATTTCAAAGGGAGGGCATACAAAAGCACTTATGATGAGCATATGCACCCAATGCCTGACCAAACCCAGTGGCCTTCATTCAACCTGCCTGACATACTACCACCCCCAATGAAATGATCTGCAGGCAGACCTAAGAAGCAGAGAAGAAGAGGTGCAAGTGAAGCAAGAAAAGGGAAGAGGCATAGCACAGTTAAGTGCAGCCTATGCAAGGAGTTGGGGCACAACATGTTGACATGTTCTGCAAAGAAAAAGATTGCAACAACTGCAGCAACCAACAGCGATGCAGAAGCTGAAGCAAGCACTTCAAGGCCCAAGAAGAGAGCAAAGAAAGCTGCTTGAGCTCCAAACCCCTACCCTTTTGACTGCACAACATACTTGTTAATGTAATCTAGTTGTTGAACAATATAATTCCAATGTGTGATGTGTTGTGATGGTATTTTTTTGGGAAATATTTTGTGTAAACTTTAGACAAATACATTGGCAACAGTGGCCTTAATTTTTTGGATGAACAGTGGCCTTATTTTTTGGATGAACATGATTGAAACAGGAAGAAATATATGGAAGACATGTTCAAGTAAACACTTTATTCAATTTCATCTCAATTACATGTTGTTCACTTCATCATTACAATCACAAATATCACACACATCAATACACCTAATTTCAAAACAGAATTTAAAAGTTTTTGTTGCTGTTTCACTTTCTTCTTCAATTGCTTCAATTCATCATGCAAATTGCTATGTCCCAGTCCATCCCTATCATAGTAGCTTCCCGTACTTTGACCTTCTTGCGCCTTCAAAACTTTGCACCATTTGAAGCTATTACACGAGTCACACTTGTAGTAAAGCCTTTGTGGATTTAATGTTGACTCCGAACTTCTAATCGCGTATTTTCTGCCACAACCGCAAAATTTGTTTGGAACGCGCACATATGCACACTCGTGTGTTGAGGAAGATGTGTTTGATATCAAACTCATGATTATGCAAGTAGGAGGGATGTAATGCATGTTCTAAGTCTTACATTTATACAAGAATGTATGTGTAACGGCTACATTGCCCCATCAATAATTTAAAATTGTTAAAAAAAAACTAGCCGTTACTTTAGAGGTATATTGTGTAATAACTTTAATAAGTAATGGCAATTGGTGAAATTAGTAAATATTTAATGGCATTTGGTGAATTAGGAATCCGATTAACGGATTGTTGACGTCCAGGCCTCATTAATGGCACGATGTGACATTTTACTGTTTATGAGTGGCATTTGGTGAATTCTGAAAAGTGCAATGGCATTTAGTGAATTTTTAAATTTGTCAGTGGCATTTGATGAAATAGCCGTAAATAATATGAAGGGGTAATTTATTATTGTTGATTATCAATGCTAGATTAATTTCCTATTGATTGATTTAATGCTCTGTGACTAGATTTGCGCAGATCTTTTATGCATGAGTTTAACAATATCGATTCGAGATTCGACAGATGAGAATTGATGTTTAGGTCTAGTTTCAATAGGCAGGTTAATTTATAAATGGTTAAGTCGAGATTCGAGAGATGAGATTTAATACCGGTAAATTAATTGTGTGATTGTAATACGTAGTGAAAGCCCTTTATGATCTGATTAATGTATGCATTGATGATTGATTATTATGTTTTACCCTGGAATATTATTTATTGGTGAACCTATACCCTAGGCCTTTTATTAATAGTTTTCTCCTTATTCTTAATCTCCGTAGTTTAGTTTTATATCCAAATTTACATATTGGTTACTTTATAAGTTAGATTACTTTAATTAATTAGGAATAGAAAGACTCGTTTCTCTATGGATTCGACCCTACTTCCCTATCTACATTAGTTAGAGGATTTATGAATTACTTTTGATTAAGGGGATACGACTTTACCCTGTCAGGGACACTCATAAGTGGGATATAATAGATTTCAACACTATTTTTGCTTCAATTCAGTAAAAAAAAGTTTTGTTTATCAAAAACAAGTTCAGTTTAGTTCATATAAAATTCCAGTTTAGTAGAAATCAATAAATTTAAACAAGCAATATAATAGAGAATTAGTAAATAGTTCAGCATAAATAATTTCAATCCAGTATAATTAATTTATATTTAATAAAAAAAAATTTATGTTCAACAAAAATAGTTTCAATTCAATAAAAAAATATTACCTCCGGTCCAATTTAGTTGCAACTTTGGGGGGGAGGGGGGGTTTGCGGAGGCCGAGGCAAAATTTCCTAAGCATATTTATTGAAAGATAAGGGTATACAATTAAGTATTAATCAAGTAATAAAAAAAATCAACCCACTTTTAAAAAAGAAACCCACCACCACCAACCTAGCCACGACCACCAACCCAGCCACGGCCAACCCAGCCACAACCACCAAACCACCGAACCCAGAAACCCAACGACCCCCAACCCACCGATTCCACCAGCCACGACCACCAAACCACCGACCCCAGAAACCCAACGACCTGATATGGAATAATAGTGAAAAATCCTACCTCTCTTGGAACCTTCGAAATTTAGTAGCTTAATTGTTATTTTAGATTTTGCTTACAAGTTTTTACCTTTCACTTGAAAGGGTTTTTCTTGTTTTAAGCGGTTAGGATTTATTTCCTTATTTTAATCTTTTATCTTGATTAGTTTTTAAGTTTAAGATTAAGTTTAGGAAATTTTATCTTTTAAATAGTTCTATCTTTATTAGAAGTGTGTTTAGGAATTTGACTAGTTGATTTTATCTAGGACTTCTAATGTAATTAGAAATCTTAGTACTTATTTGTAGCCTATATAATGGCATTTAGGCTCTTAATAAAAATAAGTTTTTGTCAAATTGAAATTTATAAAGGTTTACGTAAGCTTGTGCTTGTGTATTCTTGGCCTAGTTTAGGTTTTAAGCTCGTGTTGCTTAGCGTTTCTTGACCGAGATTCAAGATTCCAAACCTTTCAACTGCGATTGAAGGTTATATCCATCAAAATCCATATCAAATTGGTGTGGCTGCTGTTTGACGAGGGACGAGTTTGACAATTTGTGTCAAAAAACTCAGTTTCAAATGTCAAATTGATCGACTTGGTTCTCCTTCGTTTCTAAAGATTTTGAGGTGATTCGTTTTTTGAAATTGGTTAATTTTTTGTCTAGTTTTCACCTGAAAAATTTGAGAACTTTTCGAGAAGCATAGCTATTAAACTGGGTTCGTTCTTTACACCTGGTCAAAAATCAAATTAATCTGCCATTGTTGAGAAAAAAATAAACTGCGATTACTTGGCTGGGAATGTTTTTCAGAATTTTTGGTCGAGTATTTTAGACTGATAGGGCTAGCAGTATACAAAATTTTAGAATTTTTCGAGGTGTTTTCATTGGGTTTTGGTCCTCGTACTTTCGATCAATTTCTGGACTGGTTTTGTGTGTTTAATCATTAACTAAACATGGTGAATCAAGCTGAATTTGCGGCATTGTTGGATGAGCTCAAGAAGATTAATGCTCGGTTGGATAAGTCGGAAGAAGTTACTGCTTTACTCCAGCAAGAACTACATAACCGTGAACCACCTCCGCTCATACGCAATCACACAGTTGAGGAGATAAAGCTTGCTGATTTGCCTAGCTTTGACAGTGATGGTGATCCAGACTTATACTTGGATTGGGAGAGGAGAATGGAACGTATATTTGCAAACAAAAATCTGGACGATCACAAACGTTTCAATCACGCTATCCTCAAGATCACAAGGTATGCTTCCCTTTGGTTTGATTCCATGCAAAATAACCGTGAAAGAGAAGGTAAGCCACAACTCTCTACTTGGACAGATTTAAAGACTAAGATGAAAAAACGATTTGTTCCACGATCTTATAAGCAAGACTTGTATTTGAAATTAAATTCTTTGACACAAGGATATATGTCGGTTGCTAATTATATCAAAGAATTCGAAAGACTTTATATTGCTTGTGATTGCAAGGATGAAGAGGAACAAAAGATTGCAAAATTTGTGATTGGTTTGAATACTTCTCTACGTAATCAAGTCGAAGTACTACCCTTGACTACTTTTGATGATGTTTGTATGATTGCTTGCAAGTTAGAGAAGCAAAAGAAGCCATACCCTTCTATTAAGCCGCAAACCGAAAATTATGATATTGCTCCAAGTTCATTAGATGCCACGTCTAAGCATGACAAACTTGTGTCAAACTTAAAGCAAGGGCAATCTTCTCTGCCTCAAAGTCAACAAAAGATGAAACAAATTGTTTGTTTTAAGTGTCAGGGCATGGGGCGTCTTGCTAAGCAATGTCCAAACAAGGCACTTATTACTAAGGAGGAATACTACACGTTTTTATCTCAAAACGTGGATGAATTGGATGTGCTTGAACAACAACACCAACAAGCCTTAGTTAAAGACAAATCGCAAGATGTGATGGATTCTTATTTTTGGGAAAATCAACAGGTTTGCTATGCAGAAAATGAGCCTAAGAGCTTGATTATAAGGAGGTCTTTATTAGCCACGCTTGATGAGAAAGAAGATGAGCAAAGGTCTAATCTTTTCCATTCTAAGTGCCTAATTAATGGTAAAGTTTGCTCTTTTATAATTGATAGTGGCTCTTGTACAAATGCTTGTGCTTTGTCTATGGTGGATTCGCTTCAATTACCTACAAGAAAGCACCCTCAGTCATACAAATTGAGTTGGTTTAATTATGACAATGGTGTGTGGGTTAAAAAACAAGCTTTGATTGGTTTTAAAGTAGGTGACTATGTGGATCAAATTTGGTGCGATGCCGTGCCAATGACCGCATGTTCTTTGCTTCTTGGACGACCTTGGCAAAGTGATAGACACGTTTTTCACAATGGCAAGACTAATGTCTATTCGGTTCTAATTGGAGACAAGCGTTTAGCCTTGCATCCCTTACCTCCTATACGTCCACCTATGCCTAAAGAACAAAAAGGAGGCGTTTCTCATGTGTGTTTTAGCTCGTGCCATCAGGAGGTGCTTGATTGTTCAAACGATAAGAGAGAACGAAGGGACAAATTGCTCCAAATGCGCAAAGGAACTAATCTGCAAGAGGGATCGAAAGTGTGGTTGTCCTTAAATGCTCAACGTATGCATATTGATCACAAGAATGGTGAACCAATGGATGAGGGACCGTTTGACATTGTTGAGAAGGTTGGCTATGAAACATTCAAGGTTCTTCTAGGGAATGGAGTTTGTGCTACTCTTCCTTCGTCCGATTTGGTACCTTGCTTTGAGGATGAAACTTGAGGTCAAGTTTCTTTTCAAGAGGGGGAGTATGATATGGAATAATAGTGAAAAATCCTACCTCTCTTGGAACCTTCGAAATTTAGTAGCTTAATTGTTATTTTAGATTTTGCTTACAAGTTTTTACCTTTCACTTGAAAGGGTTTTTCTTGTTTTAAGCGGTTAGGATTTATTTCCTTATTTTAATCTTTTATTTTGATTAGTTTTTAAGTTTAAGATTAAGTTTAGGAAATTTTATCTTTTAAATAGTTCTATCTTTATTAGAAGTGTGTTTAGGAATTTGACTAGTTGATTTTATCTAGGACTTCTAATGTAATTAGAAATCTTAGTACTTATTTGTAGCCTATATAATGGCATTTAGGCTCTTAATAAAAATAAGTTTTCGTCAAATTGAAATTTATAAAGGTTTACGTAAGCTTGTGCTTGTGTATTCTTGGCCTAGTTTAGGTTTTAAGCTCGTGTTGCTTAGCGTTTCTTGACCGAGACTCAAGATTCCAAACCTTTCAACTGCGATTGAAGGTTATATCCATCAAAATCCATATCACGACCCCCGAACCACCGACACCGACACCGAAACCACCAACGCCGTAACACTAACCCCGAAACCCACCGACTTGAAACCCACCAACCCCAACCCACCGATTTGAAACCCCAACCAACACCGCCGGCAAAACCAACCCCGAAACCACCAACCCCGAAACAACCAACACCGAAACCACCACAGTCGAACCCACCAACCGCCGAAACAACCAACACAGAAACCCACCGGCGAGCCGCAATAACCACCCACCCACCACCAAACCCACGAAGCCACAAACCCATGAACCCACACACCGACGAACCCACAAACCCACAAATCTAAAAAAATAATAGGAATTGTTGAAGGATGAAAGAGAAAAAAAAATGGGGATGAGGAAGAAGATGTAGAAACTTGATGAACAATGGTGATGAGGAGGAAGATGAAAGAGGATGAAGGTGGCTGGAATTAGTTTTGGTGGCTAAGGGGTTGATTTTGGTGAAAATAGGTAACTTAATTAATGTTAGGGTTTAAGCTAATTAGATAAAATCAGTTTTGTAATTAGGGTGTTTTAAGAAAAAGTAAGGGTAAAATGGTAATTTTACCACTTAAAAGTTACTAAAAAGGAAAGAAATGGGAAAGTTGCAAATAATGTGGACCGGCCCAAAAAGGAAATAGTTGCAACTAAATTGGACTGGAGGTGGAATGAAAATGGATGTGCCACTTTTAGAGGATGTGGTTGTTCTTCAAGGAGTTGGTTATTTTCTTCAAGAACAGCCTGATGTCATTACCAAGCATATTTATGACTTCATCGACAAATTTTAAGACTTTGCATTTGTAATGGCTTCTATTGTTTATGTTGCGTGTTCATGTCTTTCGGTTTTCAAAGAACAATTGTGTGCTTAATAAAGGGTTACAACTCTAGAAGTGTAGGTCTCTAGTCTCATATGCTGCCTTCCAATAATTGAAGAAAATTCTATTAGAAAGAAAGTTACTACTTTGGTCTTCTATTTTATCCGTTTTTATTTACTTGCAACATACTACCTCCGTTTCTTTTTAGTTGACATGTATTCCTTTTTAGGAAGTTTTTTTTAGTTGACACGTTTCCTTTTAGGGTAAATTTTTTACCTTGCATTTACAAGGTACCCCACTTGCTTTTTCATTCTCTTTCAGTCTCTGTCCTCTCCTTAATATATGTGCCTAAATCAAACGCGTCAACTTAATAGGAAACGGAGGAAGTAATATTTTGAGACATATTTTGGCGAAAATATTAAACTAAGTTAATGAACAAATTAATTGACAAAATTTACCACCAATTGTGGTTCTATACAATAAAACCGCTATTACCGGTTCTTCTAATTTAAATATATCACACTTATTGACTTATAATCTTCTATCCACTTCCTTAATTAGAAGAACCGCTAAGGGTGATAGCGGTTTTATACAATAAAATTGCTATTTTCATTACACATTTGTCAATGCATTATTATAATATTACTAATATATCTTATTACTAATATTCAAAAGTTGTGAAAATTTGATATTAATATAAATCAAGATGAATCTAACAAGATTACACTTGATTATATTTTTCCTCAATTATAAATTATCAAAGCCAATTATGGTGGAATATATAAATAGTGTAAAAGTCAAAGTATTTCTTTTAAAAGAAAACAAGGAATTATAAAATAGTATTTCCAATAAAAAAAAGTATTGCATTATTTATATATATTTTTTAAAAATACCAATTATAAAAAGTGTTGTAATAAAAAAAGAAGGGCATAATAACCTTCATGTACTAAGGTTGCTAAAACGCGTGATGTGCACGCCATAGCTAGCCATGTCCAGGGAAAGTTTTAATTTAGTCTTATGTCCTAACTTTTTTTGTTGGAAATTATTTAAACCCATATTTTTAGGGGTATAGATATTTGCACACTATTCATAAAAGTTAAAAAAAATTACATTTATATTGGCAAATAAGTAATTAGACATTTTTAAAGATATGATAAACTGTCCAAACACTGTTAATAAAAGGTAGGGAATAGACATTGTATACACTATGACTTCGTGGGATGCAGATTGGATCACGCTCCAAGAGACAGTCTCAAAGTAGCAGATGCTCAGGCTAAGGTAGCCACAAGCACTCTAAGGCCCCGTTCTTTAGAGCTGCTCTGCTTTGCTCTGCTCAGTTGAGCCCTACTCTGCTCAAATCAAATCTGCTCTGCTAGCATATGCTCAAAAGAAATCTGCCCTGCTCTGCTCTGCTCCATTTTCAAATAATAATTAATAGTAATAATAATAATTAATAATAACAATAATAATAATTAATATTCAATAATAATAATAATTAATATTGTATTGATGATAATAGTTTATTATTTTGAAAATTATAATAATTATTAATATTAAAAATAATTTTAATAATTATTAATACTATGTATTAATAATTATTAATATTTATTAATTATAATGATAATTAATAATAATAGTTATCATTATTAATATTTTATAATTCAAATATTAAGAATTAATATTTAATAATATTATTAATTAATAAAATCTAATAATTATAACAATTCTTTCAAAATAAATAAATAATAATAATAACAATTTCTTTTATAAACATTTGATATTAGAATCACAATGTGTAGAAACATTATATGTATGTGGGTATTGATTGTTAGTTCATTGAGTTGAATTATTTTTCAATCTTTCCATACAATTTAAGAATTTAAAAAAAAACGGAGGTTGTTTTCAAGTAGTACTTTGTATAGGAGGAGCAGCAGCAACAGTAGCAGTAGCAATAGTAGCAGCAGCAGTAGTAGCAATAGCAGTGGCAGTGGCAGTAATAATAATAATAATAACAACAACAACAATAGTATAGTATTAATAATAATGTTGAAATCTGCTCGGCTCTACTCTGCTCTGCTATCCTGAAATCTGCTCTACTCTGCTCTGCTGAAATTTAATCTGCTCTGCCCAGAAGCTCAATAGAACAGGACCTAACTAGCTCAGGGAGCATCAAGCCCGGATGTGCAGTGGCTCAAGAACTTTATTGTGTTACATGCTTGGTGATGTAATACATGGGAACTACAAGGTCTACAACTAATGTTATGACTATAGGCCCCGTTCTTTAGAGCTGCTCTGCTTTGGTCTGCTGTGTTGAGCCCTACTCTGCTATGCTCAAATCAAATATGCTCTTCTCAAAAGAAATATATCTGCTCTGCTTAATTTTCAAATAATAATTAATAATAACAATAGTAATAAAATAATAATAATAATAATAATAATAATAATAATAATAATAATAATAATAATAATAATAATAATAATAATTAATAATAGCAACAATAGTAAAATAATAATAACAACAATAACCACAACCACAACAGCAATAATACTAATAATAATAATAATAATAATAATAATAACCACAACAACAACAACACCACCACCAACAACACCAACAGCAACAGTAGTAGTAGTAGCAACAACAACAACAAATATTAATAATAGTATTAATAATAATATTGAAATCTGCTCTGCTCGACTCTGCTATCCTGAAATTTGCTATGCTCTGCTCTGCTAACCCTTGCTTTGCTCTGCTGACCCTTGCTTTGCTCTGCCCAGAAACTCGTTGTACTAACATTAACTTTATTATGTTATGAATTAATCTAGTCGCTCCTTTTAACCAAAAAAACAAAACTATGAAAAGCATACACGCACCATTCACTTTTATGTAAAATTTTCCAATTCATATGTGTCCTAAATAAAATAATTGAAGTAATTTGTACTCTCTTAAATGAAAGAAACAACGACACTACAATGACAGAACAAATTGTGAAATCTATGGATAGAATTCATTTCCTCTTTAATATAAATGATGACACTTGGTCCACTCCTTAGTCCTTGTTCATCACGTTTTTTATGTAAAACTTCTCAAGTACCACAAATAATAAGACCACAACAAAAAAAAAGCGAAAACCATAAAACCAACCAACCAACCAACCTTCATTTTCCACCAAAAAACTAAACTTTGGTGAGACAAAAATGGAAACATCTGAAGGCATAACACACCGAAAAGTTCATGTGAATGGCATAAATATGCATGTAGCTGAGAAAGGAGTTAAGGGGGCACCAATTGTACTCTTCATTCATGGCTTCCCTGAATTATGGTACTCTTGGAGGCACCAAATCTTGGCCCTCTCGACTCTTGGTTACCATGCCGTAGCCCCCGATATGAGGGGCTACGGCGACACAGACGCCCCAACGGATGCCTGTAGTTACACTTACGGGCACATTGTGGGTGACTTGGTGGCATTGATTGATTAGTTAGGGGTAGAGGAGGTTTTTGTGGTTGGCCATGATTGGGGCGCAATGATTGCTTGGTGGTTGTGCCTCTTTCGGCCAGATCGTGTGAAGGCGTTGGTGAACCTTAGCGTGGCTTTCTTTCCCCGGAATCCTAAAACCGAGCTAGTTGATGGGC